GAAGGTATTGGGCAAGGTCATAGACAAATTTGAAGGATAGCTCAAGCAGAAAAACCAAAACATTTGCAGAAGTGACCACCATTCATACAAGCATCCAAACAAACAGAGAAGCACGGTATATTCATTCCCCTTACTATCAAGAACTTGCGTCTCGTCTTGATTGAGAATATCACTAGGCATTTAATACAGCTTGTAGAGAGATTTAGTGGTATTGCTAAGGAAGTCTTTGGCATTGATCCAGAATAGGCTCAGCAAGCTCCTCCAAACACGAGATCCGCACTGATATCCACCTTTCTCCTGCAATAAAATTCTAAACGCAGCATTGCGCATTAGGCCCACATTGATTCACTCTTCTTATAAACTCCGTACATGACGCCTCCCTTGGTGCATCTTCCGCACCAGCCATCACAAAGTATCCAGTGCTGCAAGGAACCCCACACGAACCATTCAAGTTCGCCCCCTCTCTTGATACCTAAACCTGAACAAAGATGGACACTTGAAGGTGTCCAGACATTCTAGCAATTAGTGAGATTGCCTATTTTGCAAAGGTGCTCAGCATTTTTCTTGCGTTGACAGTAAATGTTTGAGCGTTGCTGTGACCACTGTAATTATTATTATTGTGGATTTTTACAGAACTATTTTGAAAAGCGCTGATAGTGTATGGATGTGGCTATATCCCAAAATTCATGAATCGGGTGCTCCGTTTAAGTCCCTTAATTATAGTTTGATGCCATTTATGGTATAGAAGAGGACGGTATTAACGTAGACATTCTCAAGCAGGGTTACAGTTTGCGAGCGTTTCCAAAGTAGAGTAATGCAGGTTCCCAAAACTTTCTCGAAAACAGAAGAAGACATGCTTCCTTGAATGACTGTGCCTCGGTAATCGCACTAAAGCACAATTTCAAATCGATTGTGGCCTAGGACATCGATAAAAAAATAACTATTGAAGTTACAAAAGTGAACTACAAGCTCATGACTCAAAGCTCATTGAAGTGAGAAGCACAAAATCCCTTGTTGGTGACAACACATCGAAGGCTGTTGTCGGCGTTGCAACCAAAGTGCGCGCGTTTGGTGCTTGAGTTCGGTAGATGTCTGTCAGCTCACCGTCGGTGAGGAGGGCTTGTTAGGTTACAAAAGGGCAAAAACAACAACATGAGAAAGTTGAAAAATGAGTGTTTCTGAATCTTGGAACTGCCTTAGCGCCTTTCCAAAGACAGGTAGTACTGCCACCACACTCCAAAGCATGTTGACAATTGAAATTTTTTATACCCACTGGAAATGACCTGACAAATTGTCGTGTCTGGGCGTAAGGTAGACAGCAATTCGATAGGAAAGGCATGGCAAGTTTAAACACAATGCTCTGTGTTAAACCCACTTCACCAAAAAAGTGAAACTGTGTAGGGTTCTGAGAACAAACAGACGATAGCTAAAACATGCCACAGAAGGTTGCAAACAGAATGGCTGTGAAGAGCTAGCATTCTATTTTTAGAACTTGGCACACACCCATCTTCAAACGAATCTCCAACGATACAAAGGCAACTTTGCTAATTATATTTTGGATTTGTACAAATGCGATGAGTTAGTAAGGCCTTACTTGCTTTGTCTTAGTCGTGATTTTCTGTGAAATTCAATTTAATATCATTGTGATAGTTAGGAAGAAATTTCGCAGTAATGTGGTAATCAGCACCGTTTCAACACTTCAATCAGCTGTTAGAAATAAGTTTTTTGAACCATTGATTCGTTTCGTTGAGGCGTGAATTCTAGTAGAAAATTCATTTCTCTTTTTAAGCCTTCAACTTGGGTCGATCAAAGAGCCAATAGGGTGAAACTTGCGTTTCAACTACCAAAGTGGTCGCAAAGCTAGGGTTTGACCCGGATTGTTACGCCTGCTTACAAGTAGATTAACAAGTTTCTTCACCCACCTTGTTGCAAATTTCCTCAACAAAGATAGGGACCAAAAGTTGGTATCGCTGTCCGGTGATTATCGACAAACATTTGACCCAACAGTTTAAGCTAAAACTTCATTTGGTTTAAAATTGGCGTGGATCCTCGAGTCCTTCCCGGCGTGATGGTGGATCGAAGTGATACAGAGGGCTATACATTGCTAGGGAAGGAAGGGACCAAAGGTAACACCTATGCAGCAACGGCCAGGATGTAGAGAAAGTTCAAAAATGAACAAAGCTAAAACTGTAGCTGCAAATCTTACTTCATTGTGTTTAAGATAAAGGAATTTCGGATCTATGAATCGTTTGGGAAACAAAATATCCTCTGCCCAGCCCATGACCTCCTTCTTAGTACAATTCTAGTAGAGCTCGGATAAATTGTGCTGAGGCAGGTAAAATGGTGGAAAGCAAGTAGATGAGACAAGTTCCCAATTGCTACACTAAATTAAGTGGTAGTAGAGAGAAAATAGATTCACTCTTGACGGATTTCTGTCCCAAACACTTAAGTAAAGACGTGCTACTACACACTGCACACGATGATCGCATGGCTTTACCTTGTGGACGGTAAGGCACTAGAAATTGTGTCCCATATTTTGCAATCAAGCAATACCCGTTTTGTGGCTTATTTACATTTGCTGACTTTGACAGACAACTTTAGAGAGCTGGTTTACGTCGCATTACTGTGAAAGCTTTAGGGTGAACATGAGTATCACTTTGAGGAACCTAAAACGCCCGTTAACCGTTGTGGAATCAAATGTATCCATTGTTTTTAATATCTCAGAGATTCATATAGTTTGCTCAGAACAAATATAGATTTTGCAAAAGGCTTCAGATGGCAGTAATTTTGGGCACACTTTACGCACGAATTAGTTATAGTAGTTATTTGCAAAGTAGGTCACTAAATGGGACGGCCCCATCCTTACAAACTGAGTGAAATTTCAGGCTAACAAAGAAGTTGCGCATCGGCCTCTGATTGGCTACCTAAGATAGTGATGGACATATATTTAGGATTGCAGAGTTGGGAACACATGTATCCACAAGTACGCACGTTCATACAGTATGGATCACGAACACACGTCTCTGAAGCAGATGTTAACATCTCTTTTTCATATCCTGTCCCTCCTTCTGATGGCATCTACCAGTCTCTCTACAAATCAGGCCGAGTTCTACAAAGGGGATAGTTTCAGTCTCCTCTTTGAAGGCCAGAATGCTGTGTTCGTGTGCGACCCAAGTGAGCAGACAAGCGACAATCTCACCTATCAATGGATCCTCAACAATACCCACATCATTGCCACCGGACAGTCATTCACTGTCCACAATGTCCGGGAAAGCGATAGCGGTCTTTACAAATGCATCGTGCGAGGAAAGATAATGGACAAGGAGGTGGTGGCTGAACACTCCACATTTGTATCCATCAGGAAGAGTGAGTTTAGGTTGCAGACCGATAGAGATACTTAGGAAATGTAAATGAATTCATGCAACTTTTTCCATGTTTTGTGAATCGTGCGTAAGCACACATCGTGCATACTTCTTATTCTCGCCAAATTGGCAAAACTATTCTGCACAGGTGCTGATGGATGGAGTTCCATGCCTTACAAAGTGACTCAAGTATAGCGAAATATGATTCGAATTCCCGCCACTGCCGTTTATTATTCAAGCATTACCGGAGACATTAAATATCCAGTGTTACGGTTCACTAACATGCGGTAGCCTTTCATAGCTTAATACATCTCGGTGTTAGCCTAACAACAATTTTATTTTAATAATGCTTCGGTCTCAGTTATTCAAT